TCTTTTTTTATGCTTTCTCCTATTTAAGATAGAAATGGTATTAATATGTGACTTCCAGTTCTGAGAAATACATGGAACGCAAGTTTAAGACACAATCTACCATCAAGACCTTCTGCATTATCACTAATAAAAATATTAAAGAGAATGAGTCCAAGTACAGATACCTGAGGTACCCCACTGGTAACAAGACCTTGCTTTGAATATACTCCATTGACTACAACACTCTGTTGCCTGTCACTCAGCTACTGCCTTACCTATTCAACAATATTGGAATCCAAACTTAAAGATTGCAATTTATTGATAAGCCTTCTATGTGCAACAGTGTCAGAAGCCTAACTGAAATCTAGGTAAGCAATGTCTGCTGCACCACCCTGATCTATAATTTTAGTTAACCAATCAAAAAAATCAATAAGATTAGTTTGGCATGATCTCCCTGAAGTAAACCCATGTTGTCTCTAATCTTGAAATCCCTGTGATTTTAGATGTTCAACAATCCTATCCTTTAACATGGTTTCCATCACTTTCCGCACTACTGAAGTAAGGCTTACTGGCCTATAGTTGCCCGACTCTTCCCTACTACCTTTCCTGTGAAAGTCAATAGAAAAACCACAAGGGAGACCTATCATTAAATTGATTCCTAACTTCCAAGATGCCTGAATTTATTGATTTTGTCAATACAGTGGCCTATTTAAAAGATACTAAGAGCTTGATACAGGAATTGGGTAATGTAGACTGGAAGGACAATTACATGTGGGCTACATATCATGTGACATTTTTATATACCATAACTAATCATAAATTGGGATACAAATTATCAGGGACCAATTTCTATTTGGAAGCCATTTAATTTATTTTCAATAATTCAATAAAGAATTTTTAGAGGCAGAAACTTAAAAGATAAGAGACACATACAGAAATGTACTTTTAGTAGATAATAAGATAGATAGAAGAGATAAATATTATTTTAGTTTTATTACTTCATAGAAATATAACTTAATATAAATCCTCTTTATTTATTCCTCCCTCAGGATAACGATCTCTCCTTATACACACTTCACTCATCCAACCACTTTTACATATGCCCCTCTCTGCCACACTCCCCCCCTTCTCTCCTCTCATGCCTTGTACTCGCTTTTCTACTCTCTCACTCCTACCCACAATTGATCTCATCCTAGACCCCATGCATACAAAACCCATTCACAACTCCTGTCATTTTCTCTCCTTCTGCTTCTAGCAGCTGGTGATGTCTCAATCCAGGGCCCTTCACCTTCTCTACACACACTAAGAAAACCAGAAACCCCACAAACCTCATCACAGTACCATGCCCTTTACCCTCACTTACCAACATACAGTGTGCAGTCTGAAATGCCCACTCCATCTGCAGTAATTTAAAATCAACAGCCATACACAACTTTTTCATCTCAAACTCATTCACACTACTTGCACTTACAGAGACCGGGCTGTCCCCCTCTGATAGCGCTACTCCTACCTCTTTATGTTTTGGTGGGCTACAATTTTCTCACACTCTCAGACTCAACTGTAAAGGGGATGGTGTAGGCATCCTTCTCTCTCCTCAACCAATCATAACTGCCCCTATCCTTTTCTTCTTTCGAAGTTCACACTGTCCGCCTATTTAAACCCACTCCTTTAAGAATTGCTATCATCTACCGCCCACCCGGTCATCCTAGGCTATTCATTGAGCACTTTTCTTCCTCGCTTCCCCACTTTCTCTCATCTAGCACTCCTTCACTAATAATTGGGGATTTTAATATCCCAATCAACAACCTCAACTGCACTGATGCCTCTCGTCTGCTCTTTGTAACCTCCTCTTTTGGCAGCATGCAATGGTCCAATTTAGCAAACCATGCAGCAGGAAACACTCTTGATCTCACCTTCACCAATCTCTGTACTGCCTCTAATCTCTCCAATATTCCTTTTCCTCTATCTGACCACCATCTGCTGACTTTTGACATCAGCATACCCAAGTCTGAACATCAATCTCACAGAAAACTCCAACGTCTTGACCTAGAGCATTTCTTCACTAATCTCCAAACTCTACTTTTACCTATCTTAAACCTCACCTGTCCTTGCTCTGCAACCTCCTTCTACAATTCCACCCTCTCCTCTCACCTAGACATTATGGCACCTCCTACATTTAAATGCAGCAAGCTCCCCTAACAAAAACCTTGGCACACCAAGCTGGCTTGATACCTCCAAAAATGCTCCAGAACTGCTGAACGCTGTTGGAGTCTCACTGTGCGTCTGACTTTCTCCACTATAAATTTATGCTGCACTCATACAGCTTGGCTCTTTCCTCTGCAAAAGTAAATTAATTTAATACCCTCATAACCACACTCTCCCACGAACCCAAACAACTATTTTTCTTCGCTCTATTGTTCCTCCTCCACCTACTAACTTGACCGCCTCAGACTACCGTCCTATCTCGCTACTCCCTTTTGCGTCCAAGATCCTTGAAAGAGTTGTGCATGTGAGATTGAAAAGTCCAACTCTCTGCTAGACCCACTTCAGTCTGGTTTCCACGCTAAGCACTCTGTGGAAACGGCACTGACCAAAGTATCCAATGATCTACTAGCTGCAAAATCTCGTGGTCACTACTCTATCCTAATTCTCCTTGAACTTTCTGCGGCTTTTGACACTGTTGATCATCAACAGCTTCTTCTGATCCTCCGCAATATTGGTCTACCTCTCCCTGCGCTCTGCCTTATTTACACTTTTTATGGGTTTACAGGAATAATTCAGATACATCCAAGACACAGGAACAATGTGGGACAGGTTCGTACAATGTGGCTATAAAGAAACAACACTATGTGCAGCATTATGGAGATGTCAAGAGGTAAATACCTCTGAGGATGTTGACAAAAAGAAGGGAAGAATCACATTCCCTACTACATATGCAACAGCATAGCTGCATCTACACAACTCAGAAGAATAGTTAATAATTTGAGAATACTGGCGAATTGCTCAATATTACCAACGGGTTTTCAAGAACCACCCATGATGTGTTATAAAAGAGGTAGTCAGCTGAGAACACTGACCCAGTCCACTGTTACAGCACGGCCTCAATACAATGGAATCTTGGATGCTTTAGATGTTTGGGATGTGTAACTTGAAGCCATATGGCCCGAGGTAAAAGGTTCACACACCCACATACTGGCAACAAATACTACATAAAACATCAGCTAACTTGTACTACAGACTTTGTAATATATAAGCTGATTTGACACTGTCATTTTGCTTATATAGGGAAAACCGATTTCCATCTTAGGGAATGGATCAGAAACCACAATTCAAGCGTACAAAAGGCCTATCAGGAGAATAAATCAGTCTTACCAGTGGCCAAGCACTTTTTGCAGTGCCGACACACATTCCCAACCTTGAAACAAATGTCGATTGATCATGTGCCACCATTAAGAAGAGGTGGAGGTCGCAAAAAATGTTTATAATTTTTTTGAATTGTTTTCTTTTTTTCACATTTTCTTCACGTTTATTTTATTTTTTATATTACATGCATTTTTATTTCTTTCATATATATTTATTTTTTAAATATTTTTTCCATGTTCTTCATGTTTTCAATATATATATTTTTCTTTTTTCAAAACATTACAACAAATGAGTATGACCAGGTTTGTGCACAAGCCGCTTCTCAATAAACATATGACTTTGTAAATGTGTTATACAGAGGTTAGAATAGGAGAGATAAAAAAAAAACATTTATCAAGGCATATATCTTATCAGGCATTATTGGTCATTTTATACAAGCTGTCAAGGTTTTTTCTTTTTTCCTGCTTTCTATGAACGTGGCAAACGCTCGGTGTACCAGGTCCTTGGTGACAATGGTACGCTATAAGCTTGGAGCACCTTTATTACAATGCGACTGCTATACATCTATAATTTCCTACTGTTTAGTATCCAGTTCTACTAAGGTCAGCTGTATCTTAGCTGGGAGTGCTGACCGTGTGATGTGGTGAGGGGTGTGTTTGCCACCCATGTCCCGTGTCCGATACATCTAGGGCATAAGGAAGAACTGTATGTACTATAAGGCTTGTGGACCAGTGATGATTAGGGTGTCGTTGTTCTCTCTGTTTTAAATATGCTAATGTTATACTATTTTAACCCTGGTTCCCTCATCTGTTATGGAAATTTCCCTTATTTTCTTTATGTTTTTTCCTACTTAAGATCGTAATGGTATTAATATGAGACATCCATTCCTTAGAATTATGTGAAATGCAGGTTTATGTTGACTGGAGGAAGCCAGTGTATGGAACAAGCATTCCCCATTGTGGAAGAGGATATGGCCCTTCTTTGACTCTTGCACTGGGGCCATGTGATTCCTTGTGATTCCTAGTGATTCCTTGCCCTTTGGATGCACTTTTTTCCATTTTGATATTTCTCTCTAGGATAATGTCACACTAGGCATTACAATTTCACCTTATATGACTGTGATTAAATTTTTGCTCAGTGTATGATTGCTATTTTGGTAGATCTATACTTTGTTTTATATTTTGTTATGTTTTGATTTTAATATAAAGTTTGGTATTTACTATAGCAACTAATCTAAGTATACTTAGGTAAGTGCTTACTTTTTTTTTTCTTCACATTTTATAATTCTTTATTTTTGTGTGCACATGTTTTACATAGCATCTTTCAATGCCCCGACAGCATTGATCAGGTAGTTAATTAGAAATTTACAAGTTACAAGGCATTTGAGTATTCTGCACATTTTTTGTTTGTTAAGCATGGTAGATTACAAGCTAAGTGAAGCTAGAGTTAGTTGACAGTAGGTATACTCAGCAGATGGTATTCAGAGAGATATTGCCGCTGAGGTCTGACAGATAAGCCTAAACTGAGTGTGAGAAAGATAAAATAAAATAAAGATAAGTCCTATTTAGCATTGATCTGATAAGCAAAGTATAGCGCTGCCGAAAATCTGGACCTACACCGAAGATAGACAGTGTTATTTATGAGAGGAGTGATAGCAGGTCATAGAAGCTAAAGACAGGAGGCTTATGCTGCATAGATAGTATTATTTATGCTAAACAGTCAGGATCGATTGTCCACCGAGTTACCGCTCCGTACCATTACACTGCTTGTAAGTGATAGTCCCCTCACCCCTGCACTTCTCTATGCAAAATGTATACTGTATGTCTGGCTGACCGTGTAGCTGACCAAGAGAGAGCAGGGGGAGGACATTCCTTAGCTGGAGTGATGAATGCTTGCTTGTGTAGATATGTGTCGGCAGAGACAGGTGGGGTGTCGCTGTTGATTTTATGTGAAATCGTTCATGAGTCAGACCAAGCATTAGGCTGTAGTCAGAAATGCCAAGTGCTAAGCTCCACTGAGTTCTCACCGTAGGGATCATGCTGTCTTCTGCATGGTGTTACTGAGCTGCTTATGCAGTAGGCTTGCTGTGTCTAGTGGCTCACCCTTCTCCAGCCCGATGTTGCTGTGAACGGAGGCTTGATGAGAGGGCTGGTCTGGTATACTCTACTCCGCCAGCACCGGGCTCTGCTTCAGCGACCGCTAGTGCCTTCGGTTCCGATTCCAATTCTGGCCGGTAACGGGATGTCTGGCTGATGGTGTGTGCTTGGGCTTGGGGCTGCGGTTCGAGGAGTGTCCTCAGAGGGCTCAAGGCCCAGGAAGGCTCCTGGGTATGCGAGTCAGGTAGGCTGGGAGTTTTCCGTGGTGTGTGGCAATGCTCTGCTGCTGTGTGCCCTTGTAGTGAGGCGACAGGACTCGGGTTCTCTTGTTGCTCGTCGGTGGTGTGTGCACTTGCGCCTGGTGTGGACCTTTGGGTCACCATGTTGCAGTCCATCAAAGGTGGTCCGGCATCGAGCCTCATGCAGGGTGCGCCCTTGCTCTTTCGTTTGCTGCAGGACGGGATACAGAGGTGGTGGTTCGTTGGAGGTGAGGTGAGTAGAGTTGGAGTCCATGATTGCGTCCCCGATGGTAAATATCATATCATGGCGTCTTGCTGGGGGCTTACTCTTGACTTTTGGTTACTGGCTAGTTTGTACCTGTAAGCGTTGTGAGTGCTGGGTTGTTGTTGCAGGCCCCTTACATTGCCTTCGGAACGCATGGCGTCCGCCATCTTTGGTGAGATGCTTAGGCCGCTCTTCTTGGTAGCAACGCTGCTGGGTCTTGGTGGTTCTGTGGTTGCCGTGTCCACTGGGCAGGGACCGGGATAACCCACCCGGTCCAGGGGGGGGGGGGTAAGCGAGACACTGGTCGGAGACCCGGGAGAGTGGCCGTCCCTACCCGGCTCAAGCTCCAGAGCGCTTCGGGCCTTGTCGGGTTACTATGGAGTGCCAGGCATGGTCTTAAGTGGTATCCCCGTAAACCCCAGCTGCTGGAGGTTGCTGTGGGCACCAGTATGGGTCAGTGGTTGCATTTGGCACTGATGTTACGGCCCAGAAGCAGGAGCTCAGACGGAGCACGTCTGATCCTGTCGGCGGTCAGGCCCTGCCCCCAGGTAAGTGCTTACTTTTTACCTTTTCCTCTCTTCATATAATGCACTTCAGAAAAATGTTATATCATTTGATTTTGAGCCAGCAACTAAGATATTTTAAAAAAACAGACCTTAGTGATAAAAAAATTATCTAATTAATATGATTAACACATGCTACAATGAACTCTTATTTAAGATAACCAAACACATAATTATATATAGTGTTATAACTAGGAAGAAATTCATATCAGGAATAAGGTTAGAGAGAGTTCTAGGTGTAATGACTCTGATACAGATGTAGCGATTAAATGGTGAAAGTGCAAAGTGAGTAAAGTGCAGGAATAAGGAAAAAACTGTTCAAAACTTTGTACTTGTGGAAGGCCAAGAAAGCCAGAAATTTGTAAAACATTGCAAACCTGTACACACCTAGAGCAGTAAAAATGTGTTTAATAAGAAATCTACTGAAATAAAGTATAACATTTATTAAACCTTTCATTGTTAAGATATCTTCATATTAATTTTTGAAAATAAATTAGAACAATATTTATTGGAAACATGATATGCAACACATAAGCCTTGAATTAATATACAACAGCATTTTTGTGCATAAATTGTTATTCAAGAAATAAAAAAACAAATAAGGGGGGGAAACCCCTCGCTCGCAGTTCACTGTAAATTACCTTTTTTTGTATTACAGTGGAATAACCTTCTCTGACTGTCATAAAATCTGAAAAAGTATATAAAAGTAGTTCTTACTTATAAAGCATGAAAACACTCTGATGAAAATCACAGTTTAGAATGTAAATACAGAATCTATATTAATTCAAAAAAGACACACAACACACAGTCAATTGTGTTATAATACGAAAGCTCAAAGAAAAGAAAATTAACCAAAATTATAAACACAAGTGATGTGAATCCTAGAGTACACTCAAATGCAACAAAACAAAAAAAAACTAATAGAAGACCTGCAAGTAATCATAGAGAGCACTACAAAATACTTTGCTGAATCTATGCTCATTTAGGCTATCTACACAGGTACAATAGGGTTAGTCTAAGTTTGATTGAATGAACATGAGAAAGGAAAACATTTTTTCAATATATAACATAGCACAGAATACACAAACCTAAAGATTCCTGGACTTGGAAGATAACACTAAGGACGAGCTAGTCAAATCTGATAAGTAACTATTCAGTTTAGGAAAAACACGTATCAGAAAGATTTAAAGTATGATAGTGATTGGCACTATGCTAGGTAGTGGAACTAAGTATATTTCCATTAAACATCGTACCACACTGCTAGTGAAATTGAAATTGTCAGATAATTAAAGGTACAATGGTTGTGCTGATAAAGCTGGCTGAATCAATGTCCAGTAGGATGTATGCACCGTTATACAGCTCACTTTGAATTGCACTAAATTTTATGACTTCGTTTTCTGATAAAAGTACTACAGTTTCTAAAGCATTACTCAGGCCCAGACTAGCCATCGGGTAATCCCGGGCAAATGCCAGGTGGATTGTGATGGCCAGTGAAGGGAGATCTCTTTCACCAGTCCAATGCAAAATTCAGCAGGAGAGGGGAGGATCTGGGAGGCTCTAGTCTTCAAATGTCCCGGGAGCTGTGGCAAACCTAGCCACTCGGACTATAACTGGACACTATGCCTTTAAGGGTTGCCGATAGGTCTGGAGAGATATGCGTTTAAACCTGTATGTGTCTGCTTCATGTATTCCCTGCATTACCTGTAATTATCTGTTCCGCCGAATGCAAATGGCGGTTTGAATGGGGATTCCCTTTCGTTTCACGAACGGCACTTTGGAGGGCCGTTCGTGAACCGAACGCGATGCCCCCTAATAGCCCACACACTTAGAGGCGTGTGGCGCTAAGTTAACCGATTGCAACATTGTTGCAATCGGTTATTAGAGGCTCTCCTGGGTGGCCGTCGTTCGACTACCGACCATGCGGCGGTCGGCCATCTTGGATCCTTTGTTCCCTCAGCGGGGTTATGTCGTCGAGCGCCTGGTACTAAAAACGGCTACTCGACGGCACGAGCCCCGCTGAGCCTCCAGGGCGTTCGGGAGTTTCGGGACATTCGGTATTTTGTTCCCTTCAAGCAATCGGTTCTTTTCATATGTTTTATACGAATTGTGTTTTTTGTGCGGCGTTCGGTTATTTTAGCTGGGATCTGAGCGGTAATCTCACGAATGACGCGCTCAGACCCCAGCTATCTACCGAACGTCCATTCGTGTAAATCCACTGTATATTCCCCAAGTGATGGATTTTTGTGTGAATTGTCGGTTCTGCTGCACGAGGGGATAATCCACTTAACGGTGCATTCTGGGAGGATGATCCCTCTCGTGCAGCGGTGCCTGATGGGAGAAATATGCTGTAATGTAAGTCCCCCATGTAGTCCCCTCTGGGAGTGCCCCTGGGGAGGGACTCAGGAAACCCCTTGCATGGGGACTTGTATAAATTGTCCTGCCGATTAAAAGGTTGTCAGTTGACTCCCAGCCTATGTGTCGTCTAGTTCTTGGGAAGGAAGGGTTACCGCAGTGCTGTTTGGATTATTCTATGCTGATTCCCTGGATTATCCTTTGTTGTTCCTGTTACCCAGCGGAGATATCGTGGATTATACTGCCTCTCCGCTACAATTGGTGGCAAGCGACGGGATTGAATGCACACAGCAAAGCAACGTTCGGCAGATTTTTAAACGAATCAAGGAACAGGCATTCGGGAATTAGCGCATTCAAATAAACCTCACGAACAGCAGGTGAATGGGAACAAATTACGCCCTGCTAAAACGGAGCACATTAAAGGAGCTGCTGGAAGCAAGAGGAGCAATCGCCAGTAACAAGGCAAAGGCTGTCCTAATTACAGAGCTCATGGAAGGAGACAGAGCCGCAGCTGCTGCAGCACCTCAAATGGAGGGAGAAACCCACGAATTTACAGCCGAATTCCGAGCACGAATGGCTTTATTCCCTGAACCCCCATCTGCAGAGATGGTTGGCAGGCTTTTCGGTGACGTACAGGAGTACATTATGGCTAGGAGACCGCAAGGGAACCAGCAAGCCGGGGAAAGAGCCGCAACGCCAGTACAGATTTTCCCAGGGAAAGCTAAAATCCCATATCAAGCCTTCAAAAGCTATGTGGAGACAGAGGGTGGCGTTGACGACTATTTACAGGACTTCGAGAGACTGTGTTTGCTGCACGAGATTAACGATGCAGACAGAGTACCCCTACTAGCGGGGAGATTATCTGGGCGAGCCGCTGAAGCGTACCGGGCAGTACCAGACGAGGATAGTAGAGACTACGCTAAAGTAAAACGGGCCATCCTAGCCAGGTATGCCATCACATCAGAGGCATACCGAAAGAAGTTTCGGGACATTAAAAAACCCACTAAAGACACCCATGTAGAGTGGGCGCACCAGCTGCAATGAGCTGCCAAGGGGTGACTGGAGGCCGCCCAAGTTGATACATTGGAGGGTCTGTTCCAGCTAATGGTACTGGAGCAATTCTTCAATGGCGTCCCGACCTACCTACAAAACTGGATTCGGGACAGAAAGCCACACACCCTGCAGGAAGCGGCTAATATGGCAGACGAGTTCCAGGACAATCGGAGAGATCAACCCGTACCAACCCGAGCCGTCATCCCCCTGCAACGACCAGCACTCCAGGGGGCCCGCAACTCACCAGCGACCAGGGGTAAGCCAGAATTCCTACCCCCCCAGGTATTCAGCACGTCCACCAATCCGGTGCCATACTTGCAACCAACAGGGGCACATCCAGAGAGACTGCCCACGGAACAGGCCTCGACCCAGCTGGAATAA